TTTTTATTCCAGATTGACTTTACTCAAAGTCTACATTCTGTTCAGGAACCTGAGTGGCAGCTCCTTTTCCATGCATTGTTCCTCCTGTCATATTCCTGTATTTTGCTTCTGGATTGATACCATCTTACCAATTATTTTACAGATGTAATCATTCTTGGCTCTGTCCCCCTACCACCCATACTTGCTCTGTGTAACTCATTGTGATTGGCAGACAAGACAACCTGGGGTAGAGGGTAGCTGCCTTGTATCAGGCCCTTCTTAAGGTCCACCGTGCAGTACGACAGCAAAAGAAGCTCAGCAAACATGGACTTAAATATTCAAATATGGCAGGTATCCATTTCAAAATTTCGAATGGTGTCGAACACCTCCTGCAGCGTTTATGGGCTGTGGGTGGTGGACCATGCAGTAAGGTGGTACAGTGTCCCTCAGTTTTTGTGGAAAGTATAAACAAAAAAACAACTAATTTATTGCTAGGGCAATAATGAAAAAATTAAATAATGGTTATGATTAGTTTTGTAGTATCTATACTGTTTTAATTGAAAACTAAAGATTCTGAGCAACTAATTGTCTTTGCATTTTGCTGTCAGAGCCCATATCCCCTAAAAGTCATGCCTGCATATTGTCTTCTTTTCTGGGATGTCAGTGGGTAACAGCATCCAAAATACATGTATCTATAATCTTATAGTGGCATAACATCTCATTGGGTCCAGGGTTGAGTACATGGGGTTAAGTGGGTGAGCAAATTCTGACAGCAGAAACTAGCACCCCCCATCTCAAAACTTAACCAGACACCATTGTTTATGATAGTAGGAAAATTGTGTCATGGGAACTTCCCAAAATGTCAACAACAAAAAAACACTTACACATTGCACGTCAAGATTTATTATTATTGCTTTATTTATTCACGATTCCAACCACTATATTATGCATTCTGCATCTGCAACAGTGAATACACACACATTAATAATAGCTTGGCTTTGTAATCCCCGTAAACAGCCACATCTTTATTTTTAATAGATCCACGCTGATTGACAACAATGTATCACTCTTTTATTATTTCTCTATTAATGTCTAATTGGCAAGTGTTTACGCCATGGCAGGAGAGGGCCACACTGGAGGGCAGAGTATGATGCGAGGCTAGGCCTTTGGAAAAGCTCCAGCATGCTGCGTTTACCCCTTTTCAGGCTCCACTAGCAGAGGTTAGCTGCAGATAATAAGTGCTGGCTTTTCATTCCTTGCTAAAATCTTGACTAGCGGCACTGACAGTAAATGGGAGAAGGGGGAGGAGGCTCAAAGAGAAGAGACGCTGGAAAAAAAAGCCTCAGTATGCACTGTTTTGTTAAAGGAAAGTTTTCAGTATTATGGTTTGATGGTTTTGAAATTGGTCTTGTGTGGGCCAACAATGAAGGATGGTGCAGCTTACATAGCAGAAAATCCATACCCTTCAGACACATGCTTACCTCTGGAGAATCGTACGATACTGACCTTCAATTCAGCCTGCAGGATGAGCTGATTTTAAGAGATAAGAAGAACTAATCTGTCAGTCTCCAGGCTTTTCTTTATTGACTGTGGCTGGGACATAGGAAATGTTTTCTGATTCCGGCACACAGAGAAAGTGGAATTCATGAACAATTTATGGGCAGTTTAAAACAAAAATTTATAAAAGCCTTGGTATCTCAGTTTGTAATAATGTAATTTATTATTACCTGTTAATATTCCATGAATGATCACTGACAGCTGACAGCATTTTGTAAGTACGTAGAATAAAACTTTTAGGTGCCATTCTATCATTATTTTTGTATTAGTAATTATTGACATGCAATATCTCATAATTTTTTCCATGCTTCACCAAAAGTCGATATTTCATGCATCTTACGTATTGCTCAGTGTCTAAATGCACTGGTGTAGTGAGATAGCTATAATTACTTATTATTATACGTGCAAATAAACCCTGTTTCTATTAACATACCTCCCAAATGTAGGAAAGATAGTTGTTTTGTGAACCGCAAATCGAGCAATTCTTTAGTGAATAGCCCTGAAAGAAAATGTGAGGAGTATCTTCATTAGTAAAAACAAAAGAAAATGTAAGCTAAAACACTCAAACACAAACATTACCTCAAACAATTGCATTTTGTAGCCTAGTGGAGATGGATAGATGTATGCTTTCATATATCAAACTACAAAACAAGTACTGAGTAGATGTTTTACTGACATCTACCATCTACTGACATCTACCATAGGCTATCATCAAGAGCAATCTAGAAAAAAATCCTCGCTGAAGTATGGGATGTCTCAATGCCCACCATGATGTGTTTGGATGTAAAGCTTATGTTTACGTTCTGAGTAAAAAAAGTTTCATATTGTAAGACACCACCATAGAAACAAGTTTTGTTTGTTAGTAATGACCAATGAAAGGTCTATACAATATCACACCCAAAGGTTAATAAACTCACAATAGGCTGCAGGTTACACTAAGACAACAGTCATGATCCAAAGTGCATACCCCTTGAAAACCCAGAAGTAGTCCGACACAGATGAGGACTCTAACCAAAATAAAGCTGGAACAAAGTTGGAACAAAAGCTAGAATTTCATGTGAATACAAACAAAAAGCTAATCCTCCAAAGAGTAGCCAAAGAGCAACTCATGCAACAAAAAGGGATACCACACTGGAAACTGTTATCTGCTACAATAACATGTGGGATACCTTGACCGGCATTCTAAGAGCATAAGGTAATTTACCTAAAGGACAGGCCAGCAAATAAAAGAGGTGTCAAAAAAAATATTTTTTTTTTCTTCATTAAAATATTACACGAAATGCTCACAATGCTGCCAGTTGGATATAATGCTATTTGGATCAAATTGATTTTGACAAGTCTGGTTCCCAAATGCATACCCACACAAGATATATGCTTTCTGTAGAGATGTCGGATTCGCCATTTAATTCATTGTTACAATTCATGTCTACATTCTGCTGTTTGAGCCATCCCTACCAGTGGCGTAGCTAAAGCTTTTGCCGCCCAGGGCGGCCCTTGAGTTTGCCGTTTTCTCGGCCTATGTCATGTCCGGTGCAGTCGTCCACGGCTGCACCAGACATACCTCTTTTAAGTACTCAACACCTCTAGCCAAACACAGTTTACAACCTTCTCAAGCTTTTTTAAGATATACACCTAATGAATACATGCATGAAAAATTCATGCATGTAATTCATTGGGGGCATATCTACTAAACAGTGATCTAATGGGGGGGGGGGGGTTTGCCCATTTGGACAGAGTGTTCCTTTAAAAATTATTGTTACTAAAGCGCTTCAGTATATTTAACTTTTTACTGGTGTGAAAAGAAACTTAGGAGTGAAATGCATGGAATTTCATTTTCTACACAGTGAAAAAAAAACATATTTTTTGGAAGGGAGGGTGTGTGTGGAGGGTGCAGGGATGGAGTGGGATCTTTGGAGGGATGGGGATGGTGCAGATGAGAAGGGATCTGTGCAGGGGAGGTAGGGAGCAAGGGGAGAGGGGATCTGTGCAGGGAGGGGGCTGTCAGGGAGGCAGGAGGATCTATGCAGGGGATAGAGGAGGAGAGGGCTTGAGTGCAGGGAAGGGGGCTGCCCGGGAGGCAGGTGGAGAGGGGGTCTTTCAGAAAGGCAGGGTGACCTGTGCAGGGGAGGAAGGGGAAGAGGGGATGTGTGCAGGGGAGGCTGGGGATCTGTGCAGGGAGGGGGGCTGTCAGGGAGGCAGGGGGGAGAGCAGATCTGTGCAGGGAGGGGGCTGTCTGAGAGGCAAGGGGAGAGGGGATCTGTACAGGGAAGAACTTACCTGATGTCTCTGCCAGGCTGCTCTTCCTCATTACTCCGCAGGACAGGAGAGCATCCTCCTGCCCCGCTTCTTCCCCTCTCTCTGCACCACACGGAGACTTGGCAAGCAGAGCAGGATGGCTGCCAGGTCTCCCTCAGAAGGTGGGAACAGGGACCTTGCCGCCCGCCCCCTCCTTGCTATTTCACTGATCCCTACTATTGACACTAAGAATATCCACACTAAAACCAAGATCACAGTATGATTTATCTGCATCTGCTAGCCAGCCACCACAATAAAAAAGTTTTTTTTTTAAAAAGTTAAATAAATATAAAGCCAATGTTCTGAATAAGACCCCCATTTTACTGGAAGGGAGGTTGTAAACCTCCCCATGTCCCCATTTGCTATGCGGCAGGTGGGGCATATCTACTAACGTACAAATTGGCAAAATCCCATGGGGATGGAACCTGTAAAATAATGGGGGGTGGATACTGTGAGCATTGGGTGGGGAACTTTTAAATAAGTAATTGAGGTAGACGGACCACTATCAATCCCCTGTCTCACCCCATGGGGATATGCCATAAAATAAATGAGGAGACATCCATATGTTACATATTTACATAGCTGAAAAGAGACTTGCGTCCATTAAGTTCAGCCTTTTTCACATTTGTTTTTTGCTGTTGATCCAAAAGAAGGCAAAAAAACAGTTTGAAGCACCATGATTCAGTTATGCCTGTTATATCATATTGTTTAGTGTATGCTATTGCCTCTAGTTCTCCCATTTTGTTATTTAGGCTCCTTGCATTAGTAAGCATACATTTAATATTATCATGAGTCACTTGTACTTTTTGTAAATTATCAACATTACATACTGTAACAGAACTATGATTATGCCCATTCTTTTGCCTGGACTTAATCAACAATGCTGCTGGAGGTGTTAAACAGAAACCGAATGGCTGGTTTTCGTGTGCTTATTGCTACTATAACCTACAGCCCAAAATACCGAACATCAGACCACCCAGGGGAACAGTTAATTGCTATTTTACCTCCCAGTGATTGTGGAGCCGTTCGCATGGTTCAGACAAATCCCTTTGTGCTCAGGTTAGATGGCCGCCATTTCGGGACTTTACACGTGTTCGCGGCCATCTTACACACGAACGGCGGTGTTTGCCTGTGAACGCATGGAACTAAAAACGGATACGCAAACAGGTGAACACCGCTGAGACCTCCAGGAGCTCGTAAGTTCGTGCTGGAACTACCGAACGACCGGCCGTTCGGTAGTTTTATTTAAGCATTTATGGGGATTCAGACGAACACCAGGATTACTGTGGATGGCAAGGGGTTCGTGGGGTTTTTATGCACGAACGGAGACCGACCGCAAGGCCAAAACTTATGGAACTCTTTTCGGCTGGAAAACCTGTGCGGTCGGTCAAAACTTCAAAGACCCATAACTCCCGAACCATTCAACCGAATGACCTGAAATTTGGATATGTTGTTCCCCTGAGTGAGCGGTGCTGGACTTAAAGGTGTACCCCCTGTTTTTGGGGTACATCCAGAATGTAGTTAAAATTGTGTCTGTTTTAATTGTGTTACATGTTATCTGAGGGGAGGAGACGTGGGGGTTGAACCATGTATGTAATTGGCTGTTGTAATAATTATGTGGGTGTAGCCTTTCAGAGGGCAATAATGCATAAAAGGAGACCCCCTGTCAATAAACATCAGTTCTACTTGACCCTTCAAAACGTAGCCTCGTCTCGTTCTTGGAGGAGATTTATGGTACCGTTACTCTGCCTCATTTTACAGCACTCCTGGATTATACAATGGGATATCATGGATGGGAATAAGAATTCCATTACTTCACAGCAGCTTGCCTAGAAAAGGACGTCTCCAACGGCAGGTACCCCTCACCAACTGGGTAGCCGTTACACATACCTTCTCTGAGCTTGCCCCTCCCCCTGTCTCCATCCCCCTTTTACTGTACTAAAGCCCATCTCCTTTCTGTCCTACCTCCATTTTGTAGATTGCTTTGACCCTCTCCCCACTACCAGTTTAAAATCTCCTCCAACCTTCTAGCCATCCTATCCCCCAGCACTGCAGACCCTCTCCTGTTTAGGTGCAACCCATCACTGCAATAAAGGTTGTACCCAAGCGCAAAGTCAGCCCAGTGCTCTAAAAACCCCAAACCCTCCTTCCTGCACCAAGACCTCAACCACGCATTGACCTCTCTAATCTCCCGCTGCCTTTCCACTGTAGCACGTGGCACAGGTATATCTCAGAGAATACCACCTTGGAGGTCCTTTTCTTAAGTTTGTTACCCAATTCCCTGAAATCATTCTTTAGGACCTTCCATCTTCCTCTTTCTTTGTCATTGGTACCAACATGGACCATGACCCCTGGGTTATCCCCAGCCCCTCCCAATAATCCATCCACTCTGTCAGCAACATGCCGGACCTGAGCACCCGGGAGACAGCAAACTGTCTGTTTGAGCCGATCAGAGAGGCAGAGTGCCCTACATACCCTCCTAATGATAGAGTCCCCTACCACCACAACCTGTCTAGCCTTCCTTACATTTTCATCCCCACCCGTACTAGAGGAGCTGTTCCCTTGGCTGTTAGAAGGAACAGCTTCCTCTAATAATGTTCCCCCATCATCCAGCCATGGTCAGCGGATGGGACTAGTGTCCCTCATTTCCCCCACCCTTTGGCGATAGGTGGGGTCCTAATGATTATACTCAGGGGAGTGAATCTAATGTTGCCCGCCCAGTTCTAACAATGTACAGAAGTTGGGGACTCTAATGATAATCAGGGACAGGAACTAATAGATCTACCTACTGGCAGTGGGTGGGAACCTAATTATAATATTCATCTGTAGTACCTAGTGTCTCCCCAACCTCAACCCAAGGATGTTGGGTAGGGGCTGTAATTAATTAAATATGGGGGGTGGACATGCTATTGTCCACCCCCCATTTAATGGCAAGTCCAACCACCTAAAGGTACCCGATCCCTTAGCCAAAGCCCATAAAATATAAATATCCCCCCTAATAGAAAAGAGAAGTGGTCAATAACTCTAATACAAATCCACACATCATAAAAATCAATAAATCAAACTGGGATTTTGGAATCGAGTCTGTTAAAAAAAAATAGTTTTTAACATTTTATGTATGTAAAAACGTGTATATATATATATATACAAAGAATGATAGGAGTTGCACTCCAGCTCTCCTTGCGCTGTTTCTAGCGATCTGTTTACAGGTTGCTAGGGTGACGGGTAGGTTGCACTTTGATACCGGAAGTAGATGAGCGGAGTGACACGCATGCGCACTGGGGAACAGACCACGCCGGCACACAGGTGGAAACGGCTTGGTAAGTTAGTTTTTTCTTATTTAAACTGAATGTTATGTCTTGTCATTTATGTCCTGATGAAAGTCCACGACGATGGACTGAAACGTTGACCTCTTTGAACAACTGGATTAAAAGGTTTTTTTGAAATTCTTTTAGTACATTGAAAGTCCTTGAGTGCTGACTTTTTTTCTAAAACTATATATATATATATATATATATATATTATATATATACTTACCATCAGGATTATTTTTTCATCGAATTATTCTGTTCGTCAGCCCCCCAAAAGGTCAAGTAAAATTCCCACTGCAACTAATAATAATAATGATTTTAAAAAAACTTTTTGCTAAATTTAAAAGAAATGAAAGCCACAATAAAATTGCTGCAATATGTGGAAAAGTCTGCTAGCCAGATAACATTGCAAAATTCCTGGGCACCCCAATCCTCCATCTTGCCTTGACCTAGCAAAGTTTTTCATTTTAACCCTTGCTTTTTTGCCGCCCCATACAAAATTAAAAAAAGATGAATGTAGTAAAGATAGCCAGTTTTCTGGGAAGTTGAGAGGGATCATTCTCCATAAATACAGACATTTTGGTAAAATATATGTTTTTAGAATATTGATTCTACCCGACAAAGAGAAGCCTAATCCTTTCCAGTCCCTTATGTTTTATTGGTTTGTTTTAATAAGGGTAAGAAGTTGGCTTCTATTAGGTCTTTTAAATCTGGGGTTATGGTTATGCCTAGGTAATTTAGCCTGTCCTTATTTTCAGGGAGCCTGATATTTTGTACAAGAAAGTTAGTTAATCTTTTGTTCATATTTTTTGCGATGAATATTGATTTCTCCAGGTTCATTTTATATCCTAAACCTGTAGAATATTTATTTATCTCCTTCAGTAACTCTGGGACCAAGATTTATGGTTATTCTAATGTTAATAAGATGTCGTCTGCATAGATATTTAGTTTTATTTGTCCTGACATTTTCGTAAAGCCTTTCATTTTTCTTTAATCGCTAGAGGTTCTACCACCATTATGTACAATAAAGGGGAAAGAGGGCATCCTTGTCTTGTCTCATTTTTTTATATTGAAGTTTTGTGATGTAAATCCTGACCCTGTGACCTTTGCTGATCGATCATTATAGAGAGGGGATACCGCTTGTAGTATTAAATCAGTAATTCCAAATTGTTTTAAGGTAGCAAACATGAAACCCCAACCATCCCAGTCAAACGCTTTCTCTGCGTCTATTGACAGTAACATTATAGGGATCTCGTTGTTGTCTGTTTCTTCTAATATATTTATTATTTTTCTAAGATTGTTAATTGAGGACTTCCCTGGTATGAACCTTCTTGATCGTTGTTAATCAATTGTGGTATTAAAAATTTTAATATTGGTATTGATTAACGAAATAGTTCTATAATTACCAATCAATTCTGGATCTTTATCTGCTTTTGGTATGGGGACAATATTCGCTCTCAACAACTCTCCAGGACAGCGTCTTGTTCTCATTATATAATTAAAAATATTAGAGAGTTCTCCTTTTAGTTGCTCTTTCATTAGTTTATAAAATGTATTTGTAAAGCCATCTGGGCCTGGAGCAGTCTTTATTTTAAGCTTATCTATTGATTTACTGACCTCTACTCTGTTATGGGTTGATTTATCATTTTTAATTGGTTGGGTAGAATTTTTAGCATATCTATGTTTTGGAAAAAATTCTCAATCTCTTCTTCCTCGCTGTATGCTTCATCTGTTAAGTTATATAGATCCTGATAAAAAAAAATTCAAACGCTTTTCCTATTTATTCTGGGGCCATTAAATTTTCTTTTTTCAGTTTATTGGTCATTCGTGATTCTGGCTTGTTGCCCTTTAGATACCACTTAGATTGTAAGGATTCTAACTGTTTAGCTGCTTTATTTATTAACTGGTTGTTTATCTGTTTTTCTATTTCTGCAATCTTCCTTGCTATTCGTGCAATCTTCCTTTATTCCTTGCATTCCTTTTTTTTTTTGCGTTGGATTCCATTTTTATCATGTGACCTCTAACTATGCTTTTTTTTTTTTTTCTTTTTTTTTTTTTTGTGCAATAATGTACAACAGTGTCTGTGTTTTTTTGTGCCAATAATGTACAACAGTGTCTGTGTAGCCACAATAGCCATAGCAGATGTGATCATATGCAACATATAAAAACAGTTTCGTGGCGTAATTAAACTCAGCACGCTTTTGTTATATATTGAAACATGAGAGACAATATTGAGCAGTGTATATTTTGACATATCTGTCAGTAAGAGTGTTTAGGTATCTAGGTCTTATGTTGATCTATGAATTTATTAATTCTTTATTTTGTTAAGTAAGGTGTTTCAGGATTCTCAATCGCCGCTATAAGAGCGTATTACGTGAATTCCAAAGAATAAGCTATGGCATATTAATGTGCATATTGTTATATATAAAGGACAAGCTTATCTAAGCATTTGTGTTATCAGAGTAGTTTTAATTATGTGTTATGTAATAGTGGTTGGCTACGCTAGCGTGGTTGTTTCGTACTATCATAGCGTGCCGTTTAGTAATTGCTGGTGTCTGTATAATACATGAGTGAGTCCTTGTCTATATACCTAGGTCGTGGAGGCCCGTAGGCTGTTGGCTTCGCCACGTCTTGCCCATGTCTGTGGATGACTTCGCCAGGTCATCAGCCAGTGTAGGATTTACATTAATGGTATACATAGGTTACCTAACTGATAAGGTGTTAAGATCTGCTCGAACCTAAACATAATATGAGGTCACACATGAATACCGTATCCTTCGTCTAGGTTAATAAGCCATGTTCATATTAAACGTGTCAGTAGTTGGACAGGTTGGCCGTGCATTGTGACTAAACATATAAATTTACATTTCAGCTGTCAGTGTAAGCTAGCACAGACCTTAGGGCTGTGTGTATGAAACTGCCATACAAACTTTAGACCTCTCCTGGCTCGATCAATAAGGTGTGTGGCGTTCAGCCACGTTTGACTGGTATAAGACTGCTATTTAGTAGGAGCTGAAAAGTACCTTTGGTATCTGGTCGGGGCTAGATTAGTGCCAAAAGAAAACAATACAAAACAGAACAAATGGCTCAAAACTGGTTGAAGACATGGGCAAGATGACAGACATTCTTAACAGTTATCTGTATATGCCTAACAGTGGAATTATTGCAGATAATGTGGGACCAGCCTCTGCCCTACATTATTGCTGAGTTCGTGGGGTGTCAGGTTGTCTTGTGCCAATCTTCTGCTGGGGGTGTTTTCCCGGTGCGGTGAGAGCACGGTAAAGTTTGTCTAGGGATCGTGTCCATGAGAGATGGGGGGTGAGACAATAACTAAAAACCTAAATGCAGCTTTTCATTAGTCCTGCCTAGGGGATTGTTGTAATTCGGGTACCTGTCCTCTCAAGTGTCCGCTCGGTGCCGGTTTACCCGTTGCTTTTTGTAAGCCGTGGAGGACGGGACATTGACGTTAGTAGGTTGAAACGGACTGACGTTTGCTACATCCCAGGTGTGATGGGCCTTTGGCCTCTGGTCGGTTGTAGCTTGTTCCTGTCGTGGTGGTAGGCCCAGCACTGCCAATACTGAGTCTATTTCCGATGGGTCAGTGACCCGTGTTGTTGCGCCCTTATGTGTGATGATCAAGCTTCTGGGAAATGCCCAGCGGTATGGGATGGAGGTTTGGCAGAGAGCGGCCGTCAAGGGTTTGAGGAGGCTCCTCCACAGCAGTGAAGGCCTAAATAGGTGTTGAAAGAATGACAGGCTGGCTGTCTCAAAGAGGTGGGATGCCTTCCTCCTCACTGCCACCATGAGGGTTGCTTGGCCTGTCTGCGTTTGAAATTGGAGAATGATATCTCTCGGGGTGTCCGCTGGGGCTCTAGCGGCCCTCGGGATTCGGTAGATCCCGTCTGTTAGGACCGCCTTCATCTGCTGTGGCGTGAGTAGGGAGGTGAGGAGTCGTCCGATGTATCCCTGTAGGTCATCCTGGGTCACTGTTTCGGGGACCCCTCTTATCTTTACGTTACGGCTTCTATGCCGGTCCTCCATTGCATCCAAGCGGGTAGTGAGTAAGGTCTGAGTGCGCTGCAGCTCTGTGTTTTGAGCCTCTAGTTGTATGCACCGTGCGATGAGGCCCTGCGAGTCCACCTCTGTCTTCTTTACTCGCCCCTCTACGGTGTGGATCTCCTCCCTCAGGACCGCTATGTCCGCCGCAAAGAGGGAGCGGATATTGCAAAGGAGGGCTTTTATGTCTCCCTTGGTGGAGGGCAATTCGTTGTCTTCGTCTGAAGATATGCTATGTAGTCCCCCTGTGCCGGGGAAGTCGTCTAGTTCATCGAGGATCTGTTCTCCGGAGGAGGCCGAGTCGCCATCTTGGTTCGGCGCGGGAGTTTCTGCGGCCTTGGCAGGTCGGAGGAGAAGTGCTCCGATATCCCGAGCCCCCGCCGGTTTTTCAGCCCCTTGGTGTCTGGATTTCTTTCCCATCTCGCGGTGCTATGGTATAGGTGATTATTGTTAAGTTTTAATCGGTTATTTTGCAATTTTCAGGCTTTTGGATACGGAGCTCTGAGAATGCACGTCTGCTTCAGTCGGTTGTTGGCTCCGCCCCTCTAACTACGCTTTTATATGCGCACCAGACCGGGATATCTGGTGTGCCTTTATTTTTATTTTCTAAAAAGAAAAGATTGGTTATTTTCTTAATCTCTTCAACATTATCCTTTTTATGTAGTATGTAGTCCTTTAAATGCCAGTCTTTGCGGAAAGTATCAAAAGTAGCTTTATATTCTAACATAATAGGGCTGTGACTGTGTCACTGTACTATACTTATACTTACATATAGAAATATTCAACTTACATACATTTCTATTTTTCTGAGCAATTATTAGGAATAAAATGGGTCTAGCACCCATATACTATAGCATATTTTAATTAGATAAACTGCTTAATACCAATTACATAAATCATGTCACTTAAAGGGACACTACAAGCCCCTAACATCTTTAACCTGGAAGCAGTTTTTTGGTATATGGATCATACCCCTACAGTCTCCCATTTAGGACTTTGTTTCTGTTTGTTCATTCATTCCTAGCCACACACAACCCCTAACTGTGATTCCCACAGCCTTCGTGAAAAAAATGTTTCATTTTGAATCAGATGTTTTTTTAACAGTGACTTTAGAAGTTTTTGTTTTATCACCTATTCTGTTAAATAAACTTTAGTCACACACAGGAAGCTCCTGTAAGCTCTGGCAACCTATTAACAGATCAGAAGTTAAGAAATCCTAAATTAACCAGAATGTGCAATAAATAATGATTAAACCTTAGATCTTTCTTTACAGGAAATGTGTAGGGAGACTGTGTAAGTCACATGCAGGGATGTATGGCAAGGGCTAACAAAGTGATTTCACTCCTAAATAGCAGAGAAAGAAGCAGTTGCCTTTCAAGTAACACTTGGTTAAGCTAAAGTTGTTTTAGTTCCCTTTAAAGAACTTGAGGTTAAAATTCTATGACTTAACGTGTTCAAAGATATTGCAAGAATTGATAAAATACAGTCCTACCTCTCTGTTTGAGCAACAAACTGTGTTGCACTTACAGACTTTATCTAATCCATTTATAGTTATTAAAGGACCACTATGGTCTGGGTGCCAGATCCTCTAGGTTTTAACCCTGCAGCTGTAAACATAGCTGTTTCAGAGATTCAGGGTTAATTCAGTCTCTAGTGGCTGTCTTCCTGACAGCCGCTAGAGGCGCTTCCCCGGCGCTCAATGCGAAAATCGAGCATTGAGAAATGCTTTCCTATGGGCGTTTTTAATGCGCATTTGGCTCCAATCGGGAGCTGACGTCGGACGTCGGTCACCAGCGCCGAGGGAGCCTGGCCCTGGGTAAAGGTAAGTGGTTGAAGGAGTTTTAACCCCTTCACCCCAGCGGGAGGGAGCCCTTGGGGGGGGGGGGGCTAAGGATTATATAGTGTCAGGAAAATGAGCTTGTTTTCCTGACACTATAGTGATCCTTTAAATGTTACTTAAATTTTCTGATGAACAAACTAGAGGAAAGAACAATGAACCTGAAATTCGTTTTTCTGTGCACTTCTTGGACTGTTAATAAACGTTTCTTTTAATGCAGATTTTCTCTGGTGTAATAATTACACACTTTGATGCATGAGTAGTGTGACCTGTTTAATATACATTAATTTGTGGACGTTAAAAACTGCAAGAAGACACCACTGTTTATTATGTATAAGATCCTACCTTTGCAGTACATTAAGACAAAATGGAATTTTAAATAGATTAACAATAGCTGCACCTGGCCAATTTCTAATGCTACGTGTCCTTTTGTTAGAAATGTGTACATATTAAATGCCATGATCTGCCCATTCCTCGCTTGTTTTTGCTTCAATAAATATGCATTATACACATCAATGTACGTTATATACATCAATATACATAGAGCATAAGAAGATGACCTTTGAACTTCACAGATTTTAGAATTATTGAGCGCTCACTATTAATATTTCTCCAAACAGAAAAATTAATCAGCGATTACTTGAAGGCAAACATGCACACAAAAAAAGTTCCCATTTTTAATACATTTTTTAAAATAATGACAAATATAATAAAATAAAAAAAACTACCTTTCAAGATCTTGAAACTGTACCACTTTTTGAATGGATTACAGCCCATCAGGAAAAGGATCTATTAGACTAGGAGGCTATTATTCTGGCCTGTGGGTCTGATCGTATCCTCTAAACATCTGTCTAACAGTTAATAGGCACAAATACAGAACATAATATGTGTAGGTGTGTTTGATATGTGTATATACAATCTTTTTTTAAATTCTAATATTATTGTACTCTGATCCTTAAGATATAGTTAACACAGAAGCATAATTTCTTTGAGTGAAACATGATTACATTAGTTCTCTAAAATTTTTTGCACTCTGTTCCTAGATCTCGAATCTCTGTTAATATGCTTTCAAACATATAAATGCCATCATGCAACAGTAAAGAAACTCTGTATAATCTACACTTTCGCCTATTCGTCTGCAAAGTACATACTCCATGTTTATCAAAGAATAAACTTGTTGTTTTGTTTTGTTTTTTTTCATTTTTTTGTATTCATCACAATACATACTGGTAATTGGTTATAAATTTAGACTATAACCTTGCAGTTTTATTATTTTGTGTGTACACTTTCTATGGGAAACTGAGTTTTGTCGTACAAGCCCTCTTCCTGCGATATAACCTCCACAGAGTACTTTTTCTAGTGCCTATTGATCGGGTGTAAGGAGACCTTTATTTCATTATTCTTCTTAGTCCATTTCCACCAATGCATTTTAAGCAGATAAAGTTGTTTTATGCAACAGCAATGAGACAAGGTTCACAATGGCGCTGATTGAACTTAGTAACCTCATCCAAAAGGGAGGAATTCTAAGAGTAGTGGACAAAATTCAATTAACTGAGATGATAGAAAATAATTTACTGAGCCAATGCATCAGTGAATTGGGGCTTTCATAACTTTCAAAGACGTTAATAACCTATTCCTATTCTTCTTATCTTGTGTCACAGGAGTTTTTACTCAGCGGCAGTTTCACAATCTACTTAATGATGTCTAAATGCTGCTGCCAAGCAATTAGAGGCTCATTGTGTGACTAACTTCTTCATTTTCTTAACTGGCAATTGTACTTCCTAAGGTAAGGCCATGTTAATGAAGAATGTGGCCAACACTCTTCATTAATAGCAGGAGGTAGGGTTGAAGATAGACCTATAGTACAGAAGCTTAGCAGCTCCTGGGAGATACAGTTACAAATGGAACAGGACATAATGCATGGTGAATGGAATGAAATGCAATAGAAAGAAGATATCTCCCATGACCTTCACGTGGTTGATTTCTCATTGCCGTGTGGCAGTGTTTGTGTATAGGAAAATGTGTGAAAGGAAGCTATTTTCTCAAATTGATATTATCTTGTTACAAGTTATATTAAGCAAAAGGTTGTTAAGACATTTATGTTCTATAGACATACCATAAGTTATATATAAAGAGGAAATCTAGGGTTGAAGTTCTACGAATGGTACAAACACCAGGAGCAGTCAGTTGGTTTCCATGGAGGTTGCTTGATGTTTATCAAGTTTATGCAGCAATACTTTAAACAATATCTTATTGTATGCCTTCTTTTAAACTACAACTACTGTGCCCAAAATGTATTTTGCCAGCATGTCAGCATCATGGAGGATGTTTGGGGAAGTGTCCCCAAGCAGAGCAAATCAGGGAAGACTGCTGGAGGAGCGGAGGATGGAGAGGGAGAGCAGAGGGTCAAGTCAGTGCAGATTCTCTTTAAATTTATATTAGGAATGTACCTAATTTACATTAAAAATCTAGCTAATCACAAAATAATCCAGTGTAGACAAAGGATAGCAAAAGCAAACAGAGCTAATGAAGACGAGAAACATGGTTTCATTTCCCTATTTCTCTGTATGTTCCCTCTATGCTAACTGCCCGGTGCAAAGGACAAAACTTGTAACAATGATTAAAAGAGAGCCAAGATGGAGGTGCCCAGTTGCAGGATAAAGAGGTGTAGACATAATATTAAAAAGCATGATATTGATAGTTCCCGTTTAAGTCAGAAAAAAACACTTTTATGACTTCACATAACAATGTGCTTGTAAAATAGAAAATTCTGGTTTATGTGAACACACAGACAGGCTACACTCTTAGCAATGGAGTGCTGTTTTAAACACAACAAATGGATTGTGATCCAAAAATCACCACGGACAATAGACCAAACATGACTACACAGTTTCATTTACTTGGGCCTCATCAGCACAGTGCATTTTGGAACTGGAGTTGAAGAAAAATATAATAAAAATCACCATTGATGTGATGAAAATTCTAAATTTACTGTTGTATTTCAGCAGTTACATATAGAAAATAAGAAAATAAACATTATTGTGCAGAGAATTTATGAGAAAGCTTGTTTCCACAATTCTCCCAGAAAGCTCTGTTGATAGTTCCCTTAACTAATTGTTGTTACTGTTGTGCATGTATTCATGTACACACAAACACACTATACACTGATCAGCCACAACATTAAAACCACTGACAGGTGAAATGAATAATATTAATTGTCACCTACACATACGTTTATGTGTATCACTGCAATCCCACAACAACCGGACTTACACAGGGATATCACTGCCTTTGAACTATTCTGTCAGAAGCCGGACCCGATTCCCCATAGCATATCCAGACTCTATACTATACTACAGCAACAGCAGGGGCTCCACCCACCCCCTTTTATGTCAAAATGGGAACAGACCATCGGGGAAAAGTTCTCTGAGAACCAATGGCACAAGATTTGCGACCTAGTATGCCACTGTGCCATTGCTAGTAAAACTCAGGAAATGGCCTACAAAATTCTTACACAATGGTATCTAACACCAGACCACCTGCAGAAAACTCAACCTTGATCTGGACGGACTGTGCTGGAGGTGTGGGAGGGAGACAGGCTCCTTCATTCACATATGGTGGCAATGCCAAATCATAGTACCGTACTGGAAAATGATGGCATCTATCATTGACCTGTTTTCAGATAATCATCCGCCCTTCCAAGTAGCCCTACACCTGCTCCACCACACAACACCCCCTTCTTCCCGACATAAGAGCTCCTTGACAATTCTCATTCTTAACAAATCAATACACTTGATATCCTTGCACTGGAAAGCCACCTCAGCCCCGCCTATGCCTTTGTGGTTTACCAAGATGGAGGAGCTGCATACATTTGAGGAGCTATGGTATATGACTCAAGACAGGGCACAGGCATACACAGACATTTGGGCACCTTGGCCTTTACAGGGGAGTTCCATTATGGGTATGTGGGAGGTAGGGCGGCTCAGCTTGCTGCGGCCACATGAAGGCGGGCATGATGACCCTTCGGGAGTTGTCGCAGGTGGCCAGTTGCTGTGACTTTACACTTACTAACATTTCTTACCTCTCATCTGGTCTTTCTTCCATTTTCTCTTCATCCTGCAACTTCCTCACCAACTCCAAGGCTTAGAGCACGGCCTGCTTTAGTTCACACACAGCTTTCATCCACCTGTTTAAATGGGAATATAATGGTCACGTGTTTTATTGAGCCCTGGGTAACCACCGTTTCTTTTATCTTGTTCTCCTTCTTTTTTTTTTTCTCTTCCTTTTGTCTACAAAGGATTGTCTACAAGATATCCTTTGACATTCTGGTTACAACCATATGCAATCATAAGGACCTGTGTGTCCATAGTTACCAATGTACTGGACCTGCGTGTCCTTTAATGTTTATTTTGAAAAAAACGCTCATAATGAACACAAATATACAAAAAACATTAATTGTATTGTTACAATGGTGCCAGTGAAGGGGTTGGTTGGATACATTAGGTAGCAATGAACAGTCAGTTCTTAAATTGCATGTGTAGGAAGCAGGAAAAGTGGGCAAGCAGAAAGATCTGAATGACTTTGATCAGGGCCAAATAGTGATGGCTAGATGACTGGGTCAGAACTCCAAAACTGAAAGTCTTGTGGCGTGTTCCTAGTATGCAATTGTTATTACCTACCAAAAGTGGTGCATGGAAGGTCAACCAGTAAACCATCGTCAGAATCATGAGCGCCTAAGGCTCATTGATGCACGTGGAGAGGAAAGGCTAGCCTGTCTTATCTAATCACAGAGAAGAGCTACTGTAGCTCAAATTCCTAAAAACGTAATGCTGACCATGAAAGAAAGGGGTCAGCTGGATGCACTGTGGGAAGAAGGCAGACCAGCAGAGGCAGTGTTCTGGTGGGAAAACGTGGGTCCTGGCATTCATGTGGATATTACTTTGACATGTACCACCTTCCTAGAGATTGTTGCTGACCACGTACACCACTTCATGGCAACGGTGCTCCCTGAAAGCAGTGACCTCTTTCAGCTGGATAATGCACCCTACCATACTGCAAAAGTTGTTCAGAAATGGTTTGAGGATCATGACAAGGAGTTCAAGGTGTTGCCTTGGCCTCCAAATTCCCCAGGTCTTGTGGCATCCATGATTCGACACATCACAGCTGTTTTGGACGCATGAAGAGGACCTTACAATATTAGGCAGGTGGTTTTAATATTGTGATTGATCAGTGTTTGTGTGCATTACAGGTAATTTGATTCAATACTAGAAAAATAATAAGCTAATAAAACATTTAATAAAAAGGAATTCTATGCAACTTGTTAATCACATATTATTCATTAACAAATGTTAAGCTAATATAGCCAGCCTAATGTAAAATGCACGATACTGACTTGAATGTAAAATCTAATGGTCTTCAATGGTAAGATTTTCTGCTTATATTAGATATGGGTGTTGTTATTAAAGCATTTGCCTGTGAATCCAGGCCATCTGTAATAAAATAGAACCCTTCACATAAATAAGAATTGTCACATTGCTTCTAGTTGGAAGACATATTTATTTAGATCAAAGCTGATGTTCACTTGAAACAGAGGCAAGTGATAGCAAAATAATCTACATTGCTGCTTTTAACAGCTAGTGCAAAATACAGAGATAAATGCACATTCATACTATATTGCTGTGATAAGGGTAAGTTAGCTATCTATTCCCTTCTTAAAGGAGAACTGACACTTCGCTAGAATTTGCACCATCGAATAAAACATAAAAAAATCACTTATAACTTCTGTTAATATTTTTTTTTTTTTTTTACAAAATGCTCTATATTATTTTGAATGTATATTAAAGATTTAGCTAATATTGCTAAAGACTAGCAGAAATTGAAACATTGTTTCCCTTATTCTCAGTATGGTCTCTTTATGCTGACTGTCAGGTGCAAATGACAGCGTTTGTAACAATGACTGACACCGAGCCAAGATGGAGGTACCCAGTGGCACAATAAAAAGGTGTTGATTTCTAACCTGAATGTAATTTTTTACACTTCAAAAATAAAAGTATGTTAAATATTTTGATATGCAAACATTGTATAAAAAAACTTGGGCAGTAAGAGTTCCCTCCTGGGGAAAACTATTTTAAGACAGCACCTAGCATAATGTGTAGAAAATTATTTTTGGCTTGTTTTGGTTTCTCAGTAGTGAAAAATTCCCACAATAGGAAAATAGTGGTGCGTCAATCACCTAGGTGGGCCACAATAACCACCAAAAAGATGGCAATAAACAAGAAAACAAACAATAGTGAGAGCACTCAAAAAGATAAATAAATGTTACCCAAATTGACAGTCATATAATTCTCTAAAATTAAACAAAGAAGAAAGACATAGGGTGATAAAGTTTACACTCAAATATTACAATAAATGTGTTGGTCCCAATATATGTCAGAGTTGGTGTTGGTCCCAATATATGTCAGAGTTGGTGTTGGTCCCAATATATGTCAGAGTTGGTGTTGGTCCCAATATATGTCAGAGTTGGTGTTGGTCCCAATATATGTCAGAGTTGGTGTTGGTCCCAATATATGTCAGAGTTGGTGTTGGTCCCAATATATGTCAGAGGTCTGACGAAGGCTAATTGCCGAAACGTGTCAGGTGCTGTGGACTTCAACTTTATGGGACTTCTTTTACAATATTCCTGTTTTTATTTGTTTCCTGTATTTTGGAAAATAAAGTTTGTAACCCCCTGATTCTGCATCCTGGAGGTACCGTATACAGGATACTAAGGTGGAGTGCCAAGCTGAAGGCATGCAGTTTGAGCCAGCTTATTAAGTGGCTCTCTATATGTGAGTGGGACCAACACATTTATTGTAATATTTGAGTGTAACTTTATTACCCTATGTCTTTCTTCTTTGTTTAATTTCAGAGAATTATATGACTGTCAATTTGGGTAACATTTATTTATCTTTTTGAGTGCTCTCACTGTTGTTTGTTTTCTTGTTTATTGGTTAATGGGTAATCATTAGTTAACATTACTTGTACATGTTATCAAGTCAAGAGATGGTTGTGTCCATTCTGCCCATCCATCAACAGACATAACTTGGGGTACTGCTTATCTGTTAGAAAGGCATTATCAAGTCCTTTGAGGTCTTGAAATTGTTGTTGTTTTTTTCATTAAACCCAAGCTCATTCGCTCCTTGTTGGCATGATTGTGATTGCCAAAACTTGAGTGTTTAACCTTTGAAGTAGTGCTCATTTTTTTACCAAAATGATACTGGTAAATGTGCCCTTGAAATGTATCAGAACAGTGAGATTGCAAAACCTTTCACAAAATTAAAATTGCTTGTCACCCAAAGCAGTGTGAAACATATAGAATTTGACATTGTAATTTCTTAATTAGTAAAATGGACGCCATATTTGTATCCATTAGTGCATGTGATTTATTATTATGTGTATCATAGTCTGAAATGTAAATAATTTCACTTTCACTTAAAATAACGATGGACACTCCTTTTGATATCTTTCACGTGCCAGGTGAACAAGCACTCAGCTCCCATGTTTGTTGGGTATTCCTTGTATGGCTGGCTTATGACTTGTCTAAGAACCTACTGCGTATGGTCACATGAATATACCTTGATATGCTTGTACAAGAAGGAAAGACTTTATGTCTACGTGTTGTTGTTTTTTTTGTTTTTTTAGAGCAGGTACTGGTGCCAAATCTCACTTATAATGAAAATGAATTCTTGGGTCAGTGCTCAATTACTTAACTTTGTTTGCTTTGTCTGTCTTGCTCGGTGCGTTCCAGCATGGCTGATTTTTTTTGTCTTTGTTAGCTCAAACTTGCCTTTGATTATGTTTATACATCATGAAGGAATCCTGTAACAATCTTGTTTCTGATCCTTTACCAGGTTCCTCTGCCATCCTGAATTCTCTTCTGAATTATGTGCCTTTCTGATTAACAGAGCCCCTGTCTTCTGTCTTGCCTTATTTATTGTCAAGTCAAATCTGACCTATCCGGTGACCTATGGACGTAGAGTATCAACTGACCTATAGCTCACTAGTGTATATGACTTACAAAGACTGGAAAATAGCCATCCAAATTCATGGGAGACAGATAACCTGTGTCAGATTTGTTGCAGTTTTGAAGATTCCACTCAAGAAAACTTGATCACAAGTGATATTAGAGTGATTTGAAAATGATACTATTTAACCTGAGATGACTGAGTAGGTATGATTTAGACCAGGGATAGGCAACCTTCGGCATTCCAGATGTTGTGGACTACATCCCCCATAATGCTCTTTCACACATAATGCTGGCAAAGCATCATGGGAGGTGTAGTCCAAAACATCTGCAGTGCTGAAGGTTGCCTATGCCTGATTTAGACTATATATCTAAATAAAAGCATAAGGATGTGGACAATCTGACGAAATGGTTCTCAACTTCCAAAATGGTTCAATAAAATGCAAGATTTTAATTCATATTGGTCTCCTTTACATTTGTTTTTCAATACAAGTAGGCAAGTGGGAATACTGCATGAGTGGCATGAGAATGAAATATGTTAAGTAAGAAAGGATATATTGCTCAGAAGGTAGTTTACAACAAGTGAAAGAGTAATATTTTACCGAATGTGACTGAAGGCAAGAAGAGTTAAATCTGTTGTGCAATCAGCACTGTATCTAGCGCGAGGCTGACAAGGCATTTGCCTTGGGCAGCATTTTCAGGGGGGCGGCAAAAAAAGCCACCACCCAACGCCCCGGCAAATGCCTTGCCAGCCACTTGTCCTAGGTGGTCCAGGAGCTGACCGGCTGGCCACTTCGGGGCCATGTGACATCACTCTGGCCCCATCATCACTAAGAGGCACGCGAGGGAGAGGAGCAGGGAGATCAGAGCTTCTTTGCCACCTGCCTCCACCACTCACCTGTCTGCCGGACCTCCTGACCGCCCGCCAAGCTGCAGCCAGCCCCACTGGACCACACTCAAAAATCCACTCCAGAATTCCCAAAGGGAATTTATTGTGAGTGTGTTAGTGTGTGTGTCTGTTCATGAGTGTTAGTGTGTGTCTGTTGGTGAGTGTGTGTCTGTTGGTGAGTGTGTGTCTGTTAGTGTGAGTGTGTTGTGTGTGTCTGTTAGTGAGTGTGTCAGTGTGTGTGTGTTGGTGTGTGTCTGTTAGTGAGAGTTAGTGTTTGTCTGTTAGTGAGAGTTAGTGTTTGTCTGTTAGTGTGTGTCTGTTAGTGAGTGTTAGTGTCTGTTAGTGAGTGTGTTAGTGTGTCTGTTAGTGAGTGTGTTAGTATGTGATCTGTTAGTGAGTGTGTTAGTATGTGATCTGTTAGTGAGTGTTTTACTGTATGTATGTTAGTGAGTGTTAGTGTGTTTGTGAGTGTTAGTGTGTGTCTGTGAGTGTTAGTGTGTGTCTGTTAGTGTAAGTGTGTGTCTGTTAGGTCTGTTAGTGTGTCTGTGAATTTTAGTGTGACTGTTAGTGAGTGTTAGTGTGTGTCTGTTAGAGTGTGTATCTGTTAGACTGTGTATCTGTTAGTGAGTGTGTGTCTGTCATTGAGAGCATATAAGTGTCTGTCGGTGAATGCGTATCTGTCAGTTAGTGTATATGTGTGTCTGTCGGTTGAATGTCAGTATTTGTGTAACTGTGAGTGTAACTGTGAATGAGTGAGTGTGTATGTCTGTGTATGTGTGTGTTGGTTAAACAATGTGTGTGACAATGACTGTGTATATGTGAGTGTATGTCAATGCATGCATCAGTGAGGGCATGTGTCTGTCAGGAAGAGAAATTTGGAAGGGGGGAGGATGGGCCTGTAGTGTACATTATATCCATAACAGCAAGCATTAGTGGCCTTGATGCTTGGAATGTTCCTCTAATAAAGTAGGGCAAGGGAGTGGTAAAATCTGGCATGTGAACAAAATGTGGCATGTAATGTAATATGGCAGGTAAGGTGACTTATGGCAACTGTGGAATTAAATTTGGCATTTAAATGAAACATTTATAATAAGGAGAGAGATTTAGCACAGCAATGAAATATGTCAAGCTATGGGAATATTGCAATGTTATTTACAGGAAGTAAAGAAGGGGAATGATGAACGTGAGTGACGGAATGTTGCATATAAATTAAATATGGCAAGTAATCGGTTAAGTTTGGGATTACATTTGGCAAGTGAAGGCTACATTAGGGTGAATGAAAGAATATGGTGACATAAAATATCACAAAAGTAGTCAAAAAATAATATAACAATGAAAAGGCATAGTCAAGGAATGACGTTGGGAACAGAATGAGTGAAATAAATTAAGGGATTACATATATGCAATATTACAAAGGGATACATGCATTTACAAGTATAACAGAGCTCCTATGCAAAATATATATCTATTCATTTGTAGTGGGCATGAATCTATAGCAAGAAAATATACAGCAACTTGTGGTGCATATATGTGGATTACAGCACTCCACAGTAAATAATAAAAATACAATTTGGCAGCAGAGTTCTGTTGGAACGGTTACTTCACAGAGCTTTGCAACAATTAAATATATTGATTAAAGAAATGAAAAGGAGAGAGTCCGCACACAGGCAGCCAGAAACCAGGAATACACAATCTTGATATACACTAGAACTCCAGAAAAACAGAGGGCAGAATAATCATAGAACAAGCTTGGTCAAAGTCAAGCCTACACACAAAGAACAATAAATAATAAAACTATTGAGCTGCTAAGTACCAGGACACAATGCCGTATCTCTGCTGAAGTTGCTATTTACAGTGAATAGTAAATATCATTCACTTGCCAGTATGCACACATGCAATTACAAAATGACACTAGAGGGAACCAGAACAGATAGGTATTGCCTGGCACCGGATCTGGAACCGGGTGATGGCGCAAGATGAGAAGGATCAGTTGGAGGTAGCGTACAGGACTGTGGTCAGGTGGTGACTGGCACAGGAATAAAACTCAGCATTGCAGAAATAAAACTGACTGTATTACAAATCTCTACACCTTAAAGGGTTACACCATCCACCATGGCCACTTCTGCTTTTAGAAGTGGTAATGGTCTGCTTTTAGAAGTGGTATCTCTGCACATTCAAAAGAATATTTGCACTAGTGTGCTTGTGGCTAGATACACCCCCAGTACTTGTGACTTTGGCACCCCAGAGCTGTGTCCCAGGCAGCCTAATGTCAATTCTGTGCATATTTTATGGTTGTTTTCAGCTTGCACTGCACACAATGGACGTCTGTGTCTCCCCTTCCTCCTTCTCACCCTCCTTAACTGTGCCCTTCCTCCTCCCTTCCCCCTCTGCTGTTTTTGTTTTGTCTCCCGCCCTTATTCCCTCCTTCTCTCCCTCCTAGCTCACATTCCCTCAGCCTTCACCACCTAAGAACGTGCGCATGTGCTCTGAGCAGGTTAGATGGTCCAATCAAAATATGACAAGCCTTTGATTGGACATCAGATGGAGGTGTGCTGATCAGCACCGGGAACTTTAACCGGTGCCGGATTTAAGGTAAAACTTATTTATTTTCTTTTTTTCTGCGTTTTTTGTTTTGTTTTTTGGTGGGCGGGCGTGGCTAAAGAAGAATGCCCAATAGGTTTGAAATAACCCTTTAAAACGCACAGTAGTACGCAATGTGTATTACAGAGCTCCACGTCAATAACATTTATAGAAATGCAGTGTGTATCACAGAGCTCCACAACTATAAAACCAGTCCTCCCAACTTGACTGAGTAGTAGGATGATTAAAATAAATGAAAAAGAGGCAAAGAAATGTCTGTGCAATAGTACTTAAAAAACAAGGTGTGGAAATATTAAATTATTCAATCCCACGTCCTTAGGCAAAAGATTGGTGATCAGACTAAACACTGAGGGAAAACTGTCATCATTTCATACTATTTGAAAACTTAAAATGACAAGTATTACATTATCTCAAGAGAGCTATGATAGTCCCTGTTTTAGAACGTCTAGCTCCCAGCAGAAGGTTGTGGAGGTGAGGAGTGTTTGACTCCTCATATTGGGGGGATGCAACAGACAGAGTGACACCAAACCCTCTACAGTGAGCTTCAGTGGTTATGGTGCGTAGAGTTGTTCTTTATGATGCATTTGAATATTTCCAGGACACCTCCAAATGTGTTTGTTTTGTTTTTATGCACTTTTGATGATTGTTTTTTTTTTTGCCATAACAATTATAGGACTATCAAGTAAAATATGTTATTCTTGAAATCTGTTCTAGTTGTTCTTTTTACCAGATGATGGGGTTTACTTACATAAATGTCACATAATAAGAAATCTACAGTATATTTGTCACTAACCTCTTTGTGAAAGATTTTGTTGTCAGGTCTGCCATTATAAAAAATTATTATTGGGGGGGCGGGGACGGACCGCCATGCTGGCTCGTCACAGGTCCGATGAGCTCCTGCCTGATCTTACTTATTTCGCTCCCATTAAGAGAAAATCCGACTAATCCCTTGACTAAAAACTACCAGCGGTACCACAACGACTAACTGCACTGCTAGCAGAACTCAGATCTGGAAGCTGAGCTGTGAAGCCCTGTTGGAAGATTGTGCACCCTGAGCTTGCGGCCTACTGCAGTGAGGGGTGGGGTGGACTGGACGGCCGCCGCTTCGCCTACTTACTGATTGCCTGGTGCAGCTCTTTGATGGATCGTCTTGCAGGCCCTGTCCCCCCCCTCATTGGACCGGTGGGGTTTATCCCGGTCCCCACTGGCCAGGCACCAGTGCCTCTGTGGGCCATGTGTGGCCATGTGTGTTACCCAGTGCAGCTCATCCATTCTGAGCAGTGAAACTCACATGATGGCGGATAGCTTACATCACCTTCTACTTCCACGCCACCCGGCGGAGATTGCAGCTCTATGGTGGAGTGCACACACATGCGGATTGATGAGAGCTTTAAACGCTTCTGGGCAGAGCTCTAGCATTAGAAAAATGCCCTGTATTTGTTCTGCGCAGCGCAAGCAAATTTAATAACATGCTTGCGCTGTGTTTGCTTTTAAATTGTGTCTGGTGTCTCCACAAGTGGGATACCAGAGGACAAAAGATCTCCCCACCGGCCCATGTAGGCACACAGCAGGGCCAGCGCTCGGATAGTGCGGACCCTGCAGGGGCCGGCCGGGGAGATCCTGTGATCTCCCCTGCCTGCCTCAGCCCCACGGCCATCGCGGCCCACCGGGCATTTGCCCGGTATGCCCGATGGCCAGTCCGGGCCGTCTTCTGGGCATTACTGGAAAAGCGCGTGGCTCCAACATCTGCCCCCATGGAGAAAGCAGTGAAGATGAGACGGCTACTCCCGGCACTACCTCTACCCCCACACCAGCTATTCATACTGCCAGCCTACCTGGATCAAGGGTCCTAAGGAGAAGGTCTCCAAAGCATCGACCACCTCGCAGGAAGACCGCCCGCCGATGGCGGAGATGACCACCTGGGTCTCTCGCTGTGCCTGCCATAGGAAAGTTTCAGACTCACATAGCGACTGAGTCTGTGGTTCATTGATTCTGCCCTCCACACAGGCCTGGGGCCCGGAAAGAAGTCTCGACCCGCCTGCACTGCCTTGTCATCCTCCGCAGCCTACATGTTCCTGTGGACACCCTGCCAAGACAAGGCATTGGCTGACTGTAGACTGCTTGCTAGTAGTTTAGGTGCCGACATGTGAGAAATCCAGTTGATAACCCACTAAATGCAATGACCACCTCTGTCAACCCCCCTCTGAGTTTAAACGTTAGCCCTACGGGGAAAGCAGAATCTTCTATATCCTGACAAACCCCAGAGGTATACTCTGCATGTAGTTCCCTGCACTAAGTAGGACCGTGCCAATATTCTTGCTGCCAGTGGTCCATAATTCTTGCAACACTTTACTTCTAAAATGCTTACATTACCCAGCCTGTTTATATTGCATGTTTCTCTCAACGTTAATCATTCTCTGACCTTCACACAGTCTTGCATTAGTTTTTACCCAAAAAATGTGTGCTAATGTTCTACATGCCATGATGTATTACCTGTTGTTACTAAGCTTGATATCGCTGTCGGACGTATCTAGCTCACCTGTTCATGCTTGCACTACTATAAATAAAGATTGACAAAAAAAAATTAAATAATATCCTACCCTTTTGTCATGAAAAGGTTAAAAATAAACTCATTAATATGTTCGCCCTAAAACAGAGAGAGAAATTAGATAGTAGTACAATGGCTGGGTATCAAGAACAAGTGTGGTCATTGAGGGGTTAATTTTATAGACTTTTACCTTGTTGCTTATAAATTTTAAATACATCTAAACTAGCTATGTTGGCACTTAACACCTTTTCCACTTAAAATGTCAGCTAAAAATGATACACACACTATTACGTTAAACAGACAATCCATAGAGGACATTAAACGTGCAAGACATTCGTGAATGATATATTTTTCTGTTGAATTTACTTCGAATCATCAGCCAGCTGGGGGCATGATCAGACAATGCAAGAACCTTGCTCCCAAGAATTCTTCTTCCCGCGGCTTATCAACAGATGAGCAGCAATGATTGTACTGTCTGCATTGATACAAACTCTCCCGTTACACTATATCCATCTACCTTATGCTCCACTGAACTTACCTGTTGAACCAAACATTATTTGCCTGCTTTGCATGAACAATAATATTTAACTCAGCCATGTATATAGATTTAGAAATTATTATATAATGGCTTGGAATAGATATGATTAAGAACTATTCAGAATATGTAGACAATTATCGTTTTGTTGTTGGTATTTTAATACATTTTGCTAATAATATTAAAGCTACAAAGATTTTTTTAAATTTAATTTTATTTAATTTTAAAAATCTAAAATATATTTCTACATTTTCTGACTGTCTTTAAAAGTTTTTAAAAATATCCCCCCAAAAAAATATTAGGGTTAAGGTGAAAAAATCTTGCCTACAAAGCGGATTTATATTTCACAATAATATTGATGAGCCTAAATTGATACAATTCGGCACCAGCGTTCAGGGCTTAAATGCAGTACTTCATCAATCTAATTCAAATCGGCTTTTATTAATTTTTCGTGTCATGCACTGCACTTTCTCTGAGAGAAACGCGTTAGCGTATGCCTTTTTTGTTGCCCCTCCTGCACATCGTGTCCAAATATAATTTTGTTTTCGAAATAGGATGGTTTTAATCTGTTAGATGGTATATGCTGTTTAAGTCCTGAAGACTGGACCCTACTCTGGTGATGTATTGTATGTCTAGTGGGAGGAGAACCCACCTGTGTACATTTTCTCACCAATCTCCATCTGTCTCCCCTCTTCTCCGTACGCTTTATCTTTGCTGATTAACAGGTGCAAAGGCTAGTGATTATAAAATTGATTGACAGGGAGCTAAAATGGAGGTGCTCAGTTGCTAAAAAGTGGGGATTTCTACACTTGATTTCATATTTAACACCTCACAAACATATACTTGTTTGAAATCATTTTGTATCACATGCAGAAGACTTTCAATGCAGATGTAGTTAACATGTTACTAAGTAAGCAATATGGTAAGTTCATTAGATAATGATAAGCTGCAATGGCGGCTCTAGACTTTGTGAGGCCTTGAGGTGTGGGGGCTGAAAGTGATTGGGGATGGTGATAGTGTACGGAGGGGGTGTCAGTGTGTATATGGATATGATAGAGTGTGTGTGAGGGTGACAGTGTGTGTGTGTGGGTGTGGGAGGGTGACAGGGTGCGTGAATTGGGTGAGTGACAGTGTGTGTGTGGGGGCTGTGACAGGGTGTGTGTAGGGGCTCTGACAGGGTGTATGGGGGGTTGGCTGTGACAGAGTGTGTGGGAGTGGCTGTGACGATGTGTGGGTGGACAGGGTCGGGTTGGCTGTGACAGGGTGGGTGGCTGTGAGGGTGTATGGGAGGGTAGGGGTCTGTAAGATGGTAGGGGGCTGTGAGTGGGTAGTGGGGGTGTTAGAGGACTGGGAGAGGGTAGGGGGGCTGTGAGAGGATAGGAGAGCTGTGAGTGGGTAGCGGGGCTGTAAGCTGGGTAGGGGGCTGTAAGGTGGGTAGGGGGCTTTAAGGTTGGTAGGGGGCTATGAATGGGTAGGGGGTGGAGTGGATAGGGGGCTGTGAGGTGGGTAGGGAGGCTGTGAGGTGGGTAGGGGGGCTGTGAGAGTGGTAGGGGGCTGTGAGGTGGGCAGGGGTGCTGTAAGATGGGTAGGGAGTTGCTGTAAGGTGGGTAGAGGGGCTGTGAGTGGTAGGGGGCAATAAGGTGGGTAAGGGGTTGCTGTAAGATGGGTAGAGGGGCTGTGAGATGGGTAGGGGACTGTGAGGTGGGTAGGGGGTTGTGAGGTTGGTAGGGGGCTGTGAGTGGGTAGGGGGGCTGTGAATGGGTAGGATGGCTGTGAGTGGATAGGGGGGCTGTGACATGGGTACGGGGATGTGAGATGGGCACAGGGGCAGTAAGGTGTGTAGTGGGGCTGTGTGGTGGGTAGGGGGCTGTAAGGTGGGTAGGGTGGCTTTGAGTGGGTAGGGGGATATATGGTGGATAGGGGTTGCTGTAAGATGGGTAGGGGGCTGTAAGGTGGGTACGGGGCTGTAAGGTGGGTAAGGGGGCTGTGAGGTGGGTAGCGGGGCTGTGAGTGGGTAGGGGGCTGTAAGGTGGGCAGGACGATGTAAGGTGTGTTGGGGGGCTGTGAGGTGGGTAGGGGGCTGTAAAAAGGTAAATACCTCGTGGTCCGATGGGCTGCTTTCCCTGGTGGTCCAGTGGGCTGCTTTCCGTTCTGCAGCTCCGCCGAGTGGTAAGTCTCACGATCTTCAGTGCGAAGCCTTAGGTGGCCGCCTAAATCGCCTAATTAGAGAGCCACCCTTATAAACTGTCTCTGCTTCATTGTAGATGGTCAATAGCTGTCTCTGCTAATCTGCAAATAGATACGTTTAATCTATGAGTAAATTGAGAATTCTCCAGGAATGTTAAGATTTAAAGGTACACTTACTTACCTTTAAATTCCCACCAACATTTCCCCCAGAAGTGTAAAGGCAACTAGAGTAGCCATTGTGCCCTTAAAATGTGTTAAAGGCATTGTGCAATTCTTAACATGCAATTGTTTTATATTAGCACACAGCGGTAGATTATTTTCTGAAAATGTAAACACTACACAATGAAGACACTACCCAAGATAAAAGACATACTGTATATCTTCAGTTAGTTTAAAGGGACGCTATAGGCACCCATACCACTTCAGCTAATTGAAGTGGTCTGGGTGCAGTGTCCCTATTGCACTTAGTGCTGCAATGTTAAACATTGCAGGTCCAGAGAAACAGCAATGTTTACATTGCATCACTAAGTCTGCCTCCAGTCGCTGTCGCTCAGACAGCTTCCTGCATCCAAAACGGACCTTTGGTCTGATAACTGACACTGGACGAGAGCATGAGGACATCTAGCATCAGATTTTTCCCCATATGAAAGCATTTATTCAATGCTTTCCTATGGGGAGAACTAATGCCTGTGGCATTTGCAGCGCATGTGCATTAGCGCCCGCTCGTTGCGGGACATCGGAGGAGGTAGAGCTGCGATCCAGCGCTGAGGAACATCGGCACTGGGATAAGGTAAGTAAATAAAGGGTTTTTAACCCTTTATTGACTATGTCGGGTTCGTGAGTGATGGGGGAGGCAGAGGGAGCTATAGTGCCAGGAATACAGCTTTGTATTCCTGGCACTATAGTGTTCCTTTAACAATAGATTAGCTATAATTACTAATATGCTCGGCCACAGCACAGGCTTACGCATATAAAGCGATGGGTGAATTATGTTAAACCCAGAGGGTAACTCAGAAAACTTCAAATTGTAGCAAATGGAAATCTGAATGACAATAGTTGGGCAAAAATAGTCTATCTGGAAAAAAATCTTAGGTGGAACTAAGGCCAACATTGAATCCTCAATTTAATGGATACCCAATAAATAACCAGGTTTTCAACTCACCAAAATTATAGATAAATAAATCTACTTTTACATAATATAGTTTATCACTAAAGAGCAGGTCATAATGATCTAAGAATAAATTTACTTTTTAGTATGGGAAAAAAACAACACAATGTTTCTATATATCCCCTTTTTTTCTCACTTTCTGTACACTATGGTAGCATTGTGATATAAATTCCTCCATTGTATCCAGACTAATGTCATGATATATGATTGCAATTAATGACATCCCTATCTGAATACAAGAGAGTTAATACAAGTCACCATTCTAAACTATATAACAGTTTTTACTGGTTTGTTCTGGATTCCAAGCGCTTCGGAGAATCTTTTTTCTAGAAATGTTCTGAATATGCCCATAATAACTGATAGAATTAACTGTACGGGAATTTTTTGGAATATTGGTAGATGTCTACATGACTGACAGCTTGAGCCAATTAAAGTTTCCATAGCACTGGGGAGCATTAATGTCCAGTATCAATTACATTAAAAGTGGACCAGTTTTGACTTTAGGCATGCTACACAATTTATTCTAAAGGAGAAGTCATTGCTGGCGTTCAGCTTATCCTGGACTTTTGTAAAGGTTACTAGTGCTTTTATCCAGTGTCTTAGTGTTAATTAGTATATTTAGAACTAAGTGCATTTGCTATGGAGTAATCATTCACTAATACACCAAGAACTGTCTCTTGTGTACAGTGGACAATAATGACAGTTGCAAGAGCCCAGCTATTACATAATCACTAATTATATTCTGTACAATTAGTGTGGTCTCATCAATGCGAATCGCTAATGGCTGATTTGTGTCATCAGCATGTTCTAGCTATAAAGAAACATAACGGCCTGCATAATTTTCTGATCATATTACCATAAAGTATGGCATTATTCAGACAATTTGAGCTATGAAGTGGCTTGATGTATGTCACAGACAAGGGAACTAAACAGTGTCACGCATAGGTGTCACCTCCCTTCATGCACAATCTCCATTATAGACTTCAAAGCTTCAGGTTTGTACTTAATAGGCAAGAGCTATTT